TTTCCCCGATCATAACAAATCCCAAACCCCCCACATCACATACCCAATAATCATCATAAATCCCACTATCACCTTGCACTAAACAAAGAACCTCGCTAGTTCTCGTTAGTCCCTTCTCGCGAAAACTAGCGAGAACTCAAAAAATCGATCTACAGAAACCCGTTAAACGTCACTTTGCCCACTTTATAATTCTCGGAAATAAATACACTGTCTGATGAAATATTATTACCGATGATCTAACCACTTTACCTTGATGTCTTGGCTTTCGTTCACGATGAAGAAATCAGTTTTATAGATGTGGAAGGGGTTAGAATTATTAATATCATGGATCTAAGTTTATATATCCATTCACTAAAGTCGCACCGTTCATATCTACCCCTAATAAGGAAACTCAATTGAGCAAATGCTCACCATAGTAATTCCAATCTCGATAATAAATTCCCTACTTATTGATTCCTCCTTATTGATTCACTCGCTCATCACTACCACCTCCATGATTATTTCCAAACCAGAAAACTGTCCTAAACCAAGATCACTTTAAGTTTTTGAAATACCAAGACCGTGAAAAAACATACCATCAATAGCAGACACTGAAAAAACACGATATGCAACAAGACTCTCCATATACAATTCCCCTCCAATAGCAAAAACGAAATCGAAAAGAGAGTTCAACTTACAGTACTGCCAAGGCCTATGAACTACTATCAATAGAAACCACGAGAATAATACGACATGCAACAAAACTCTCCACATACAATTCTCGTCCAGTTAAATAACAGACAATAGAAAAGTAGAAGGGGATAGAAGACACGGGAAGAATGCGATATGCAACAAAACTCTCCAGATACAATTCTCATCTAGTAGAATGAGAGGAATTGAAAAAACGAAGAGTAGATGATCCATTGTGTAAGATCTTAATAGACTTATAATTACATCCTGTAAGATCTTCGTATTCCTATAAAAGACTATTGTTGTCTAAGAACCATGATACTTCATCAGACGCAAAAGATATGCCTGATGAATTACTTCAGTATCAAAAAGTCTCATCTCATGGAATCACCCAATATCTCAACCCGTGCTGTCCCATCTCAAAATATCACAACACCAATCACCATTCACTCAATACCAACAAACAGGTCTCAAAGAATGTGTTCGAAAACGCTATATATGTGTAATGCTGTATCATTTCTATCATACCCAGCCCCAAAGTTCTATACCCAACCCTGTCCTCTCTATCTATAATCTCATCCTGGCCTCTAATCCCTTTCCCTTAATGAGGTTGAATTTTATGAGCACGCAATAGGTCTCCCCAGTATGAATTCGATCATTGATACTGATTTCCCACGCCTTAACTTTTTGCACATTGTGCTTTTAACCTATTTGATTCGACCCTCTAAAAAATCGCATCCTATGGGAGGCTGCCGAATTATCTTATATTTCCTCACTAATAACGACCGTAACCCCATCTTAAAACCGAAGCCCATACCCATATCCACATACCCTGACCATAACCATAATGAATGGTATCAGAATGTACCTCTCAAACGCCGTCACCAATGTATGAGGATCGACCATAATGTAGGTCTCCTCCAAAATTATAAAAACTTTCTCCGTGTATCCAGACGCCTTGAAAATTCCTTTACTCAACTCTTTTCACATAATATTACAAACCCTATCTGAGTGATCCGAATTTTTGTCCTTATCTTTAGCATCCATGTCCGTGGTTTCTTTGCTTCGCCTCTTACCCTTCTTACTGCCTTTGCGGGAAATTCCACCAGTTGCTTCAGCAGGTTTCGCAAGATCTCCATTATTACTAGAGTCGACAGGACCATCTAATCCTAGAGCAGGCAGAGCAGGCACAGCAGGTATAGATTCTTTACTCGTGTCTGGCTTTTGTAAAGACTCTTTGCTTGCCCTTGATATCAAGTCTTTGAAGTATGACCTGCGGTTTTCGATCTTTTCGTTCGAGGAACTTTGTGGTCGACTTCGAGATGCCTTGCTCCTCCGAAATGTTCTCGAAGTTCTGGCACTGACCGGCTCCTCACCTGGCGTAGCAGGAGCTGATTCGTTGTCTGATTTTTCAACGCTGACACTACTCGCATCCGTGGCCGCAACGCTTCCTCTTCTGTCTTCATCAGGAAGATTAAGACTTCTACGGGATCGATCAATGTCGGATGAAAATCTGACAACAGAGTTCGAACGATCGTTCGGTGGCGGGGTAAAATATCCCTCGTCATCGCCGCTGCCACTGTTTAAATCTGGGCTTGCCTTGGAAATCTGCACATCTATACTTGGAACAGAAGAATATGTGTACGATGGAGGTGTCGTGTTGTCGGAAAATCTTGCCAAATCTTCTGGGGAAAGGTTCGCCAGAATAGGAACAAATTCATACCACAAAGTGACTGGCATTCCGTATTTACTGTCCTGCTTCAGAGCTGCATCAATGTCTACTTTGGCTACTCGTCCCCCCCTTGCAATGTCATCGTGGACTATCCAGCAGTCATCAACATAAGCTGGTGGATGTTGACCATCTTTCGGTTGCACAGAATCCAAGTCACCATTGGTCTCCACATCTAAGCGAATTAGCGATCTATAATGTCCACTTTCGAGTGATCCTTCGTGGCAAATCATCGATCGAAGTACGAGCTCGAAACAATCCGAGATTGCTATCTCGTTTGAACCTTCATATTCATGGACCAAGTGTGGTGGTAGTTTCATTTTCTTTGGGATATCAACATGGGTGTTATTCTTTTTCAGAATTTCTTTGCCGTCTGGTCCCTCCACATTGTGATATCTTTTCAGATCAAATCCTAGCATTGGATGATGGTTTTGTTTGATCCGTTCAACGAATTCACGATTGTTTGCCGGAGCGGGTTTGGAAAACCAAACTATATCACCAATTAGTACAGGTACAGTCTTAAGTGGAGCAATATTTGAATTTAAATGGCAAGAAATAGGAGACCAACTACTGGACGGACGAATCAGCTTAGATAATATGAATGCGTCGACTTCTCTCTCTTTACGAGTAGACATGCGACTCGTCGTACGGTTTAATGACCCTCCATCATGTGTGACCTCCCGAGTGAGATGGTTTTGGGAAGATGGCTCGCCATTCATCTCCACGTGGCCTGGAGATACAGCGTCCAGTTCGGCTTCCGTGTTCTCGACATGTTCCGAAGTTGGCTTTTTGTCAGCATTAGGTTCGGCTTCTGTGGTCTCCACGTGTTCTGGGACTGGTTTTTCGTCATCATCGTCGGGTTCGACGCGTCTCTGAATCTTGACTAAAGACAACAAGGACCGTTCTATACATTCTTCGAGCCGCAAACGACCTGGTCCCTCATGATCGGTTGAAATGGAGATTGGAAGCGTTCGCTCTTTCGAGGTTCTATGATCATCTTTTTCGCGGATGCCACCATGTTCATAATCAACTCTCAAGTCAAGCATTGGCCAATCAAGAATGTCTCCAATCTTCATGTGTGCCTCAGTTGGGTCTTGTTCCTTTTTTTTATCCAAGTCATCCCAGCCGCATTCGATCAAACTATCCAGGATACGTTCGGTCTATTTAAAATTAGCAAGTTGAAAAATTAGATGGAAGGCAAAACTAACAATGTTGACTTCAATCAAGATGCCCGATCTCATGAGGTTTACCCATAACCGAATTAGTTGGATCAGGTTTTGTTTGAGAGGATCTTCGTAGAAGTTGTTGAGTAGTTCTTGAAATTGAGTAGGGACTGTAAACAATGAAGCCAGAAAAGAATCCAGCCAACAGGTAACTCCACGAGAATTCTGTGCTCCGAGCATTGTTATTTTTGGATCATATGGATATATGACCCCGGAAAGTGAGTTATGGAACACTAGCAAGATTTGATGCGCTTTCTCGACATTTCCATTGGCATAAATTGAATTCAGACAAAACAGAATCTGATCGTCTTTCACATCATTATGTCCATCGGATTCCAACAAGCTTCTGATCCGAGAAATCTGTTGTTCCATTAGCAAAGCTTTCCGAGTAATTGTGAACTAGTCCAACCTTTTCCTGATCTTCATCTTGTTCCTTCTCCGACTTTGAATTTCTAATATGAACAAACAACGAGGTAAAAATGTCGGAAACTGATCGACTCTAGGATAAGCAAGAATAACAAGTTAGTAATGGTGAATTTAAGATTCTGTCATCGTGTCATCATTGCATCGGAAATGCGCCGCGGAGAAAGAGGCTTTATGAGTAACTGCCAACCTTCCCCTCCCCCGAATACCAGGAAGATCAAGTAAGGAGATATGGAAGTCGCAGGCGCATTACCTTCTTCTCGGTAGACTTCTCGGCCGACTTGATGTCTCTTGATTTATCTCGTTTGTGTGAAGTCTCCTTGTCCTTATCCTTATCCTTTCTGCCGCCAAATTTATTCATGATGAAGGATGTGTTCGTGATGCTTCCTCAGAGGCCCGTCTGTGAATATTATTGTTGTAAAGAGATCGGTCAAATGATTGGAATAATAGGACCCTGAGTTTTGATTGTTGATTCGAATTGTGTACGAGTAGAAATGGGGTACGATTCAACGTTGGGAAGGATTGGTAAACTCCATATTCCGAAGACGAAGTGAATGAATGAATGATTGATTGCTCTTTGGAACCGTTCGCAGATGAGTCCGAGGCGTCTTATTAAACTTTAAAGAGTGTGAAATTGGTGAGTGACTGTTTTTGTATTATATTTTGAGTGTATGTAGAGGAAGTTTGAAGCAAAAGCGGATGTTGTTGTGGTTATGGTTGTAGTTGTTGTTTCTTCATTTTCATCGAGTGGTTACCACGACCTACCTACTAGGTAATCTCGACTCCACACCTGTTGTAGTTCGCTCGTTCGTACTGCGTAGAATCTTGGTGATCCTTCCCTCGGTGCAGAATGGAACTTTCTCCGAACTTTTTTTATAAGGGTCGGACGATAAATGATAATGCTAATCCCTGCTGCATGACACGTGCATGGGGTTTGGGAACCATTCACACATCCGTCGACCAATCAAGAAACGTGCGCACTGGCTTGTTCCCTCTGGGGTGTAATTCAAAATGTCTTAGATAAGCAAGATTTACTTCGGAGATCTTGTTGCCTGATACGGAAAAAATAAGGCACCTCTCGAGATATTTTTTGATATTGATTGCTCTTGGGAGGGTTGATCAAAAGATCCCTCGATATACCCAAACGACATGGCTTTGCGAGAATTACCGTCGACTTTATGTCGATTCTCGAGGAGGGAAATAAGATCAACACCAATAGCGATAGGGAGGAATTGTCGCAGATATGCCTCTGGAGAAGCTGTTGCCGCAAAAGAGAGTCCAGAAGATTTCCAGGACCTCGAATCGCAATCTTCATTTGCTTCAACATCTGTACCAAATGAAGTCATTGAGACTTATGACCCTGTAAAGAGGGCACAAGGGCGGAAGAGAGAACTTCCTTCCAGTCGGTATGACTGCAACAGATCCAGATCCCAAGTGAGAGAGGGGCAATGCTTATACCTTTTATAGATACCAATTTCGATCACCGAGATACTATCGAGGTCCTCTTCATCCTCATCAACCTCCACCAAAATCAGATCCATCCTCTCGAGAATTCGTTCCGGGTCCATTTGGTCCCAATCGTCTCGAACAAACCTATAAATCAACCATCTCCCACGACATTATGACCATGGCATACGTTCACAAACCACCTGGAACCGTCACAATTCCTAAAGGCGATCGTTTAAGAACATGGGACGATTCATCACCATATCATAAAGGCAGACCAAAGAGAGGTCCTCGTGGTGGAGATGTTTTACGTCTCATCGAACAAGACATTACTTGGCGCAACATTCCTAAGATCGAAGAAGTCACTGTTCATTCGATGGTTAAGGGTGCACTTGGAGATTCCGCATACATGCATGTCGCTGGTATTTTACTACAATCAATTACGGGCGTCAGACCGGAAATTCACAAATCAACACATAACGTCGCACAATTCGGTATTCGAAAGGGCATGCCAGTTTCTTTAACTTGTACTATGAGAAATAACGATGCATTGGAATTCCTCGATAAGTGTATCAATGTGGTATTCCCAAAAATTAAGGATTGGCAAGGTGTAAAGGGTGAGTCTGTTCGGTAGATATGTGGTAGAAGGAATGCTAATTTGGATAGGCTCAACTGGAGATGGAAGTGGAAACTTGTCATTTGGTTTTAATAGAGAAGGAACTATTTTATTCCCGGAAGTTCAGGTCAACTATGATGTAAGTTTTACATTGATAATTTGCATGCACATTCAAAAGCTAACATAATTTTCTAGATGTATCCACCTAGGTTGATTCCTGGATTCCACGTTACAGTCAAAACCACCGCAACATCCGATCGTCATGCCAGACTTTTGCTTAGCGCTATGGGTGTTCCTTTCTACGGAAAGTTAGTTGATTAAATTCGATCTTTCACAAATAAAGTGTATAAGACGATATAAATCATGTGTAAATATAGCATGTAACACAAAATCATCATGTGCAGCACATCTGACCTCAAGTTTTATTTTTGAATCGCGCGAATTGTCGTTTATAAGCGCGATAAGGTTACCAGCGAAAGATATCGAATCTGTTACTTGGTTGACAACCCCTCAGATTCTCTGAGAGTATAAAGACGTGAATGAACCCAGGCTCAAGCCTTTGCGCCATCTCTTTACCATTCCTGAATCTTCACCTATCACTGGCCTTCAACCTTCAAACATCAACTCCTATTTTCCTAGCCATACTCCCGCATCATTCGGCCTCCATATTGACGAAATGAAAGATACATTCAACATACAGACTCCATTCCATACTTAACATCGAATACTAAGTAAGATTTTGAATCGAATTTCCAGGAGAAGTCTCTGGCACCTAGTGATTTCCTTGAAATCTACCCAAATACAGATTCGAATTTTTTCAAAACTCAGAGATATCACTGTTCCCAATATATAATTCTGCATCAGCGATTTAGTTGTATACCGCTTTCTACATCTATAGGTTATACAGCCAATAACTCTCCGGCACTCATACACTGTCCCTCCCGCTATATCCACATTACGTCAACTCTTTGTTCAAGTTCACACCCTAATCATAATCACTGTACTCCTCACACCAGCTAACCGAGATCTTTCCCAAGACTTTGATATAAAAAGCTTCTAGAATACGAAATTGAGCTCTTTATCCTTCCAGCAAGAAGCCACTAGTCTCAGAAAAGAATGTCCTTCCTTTGAGGATTCTGAACGTGATTTTAAATGAGTTCTTGATCGTGTTGTGGATGGGGTTTAGGCTTGAGTTTGCATTTGCATTTAGTTTTTATATACCCCACGTATGGAAACTAGGCGGTATTGAATATGTCGCATTGATTTTCCTGATGATTGATAGAGTGCATTATCTTCACATCTCTCTAGCCATGTCCGAATTCACTTCTTCTCTCATCCACCCGACTCCATAGAGTGGAGCCCTAAGTCTTTCCCCCTGATCGACATATAAATGTGTTTGTCTAGGAGTTTGATCAAGACAAATTCGAACACATTTTGCAGAAGAGATACAAAAGGGGGGGAGGATGCCTCGTCAGCTTCCCTCCTCTTTTCTCTTGATTTGCACCCGCTATAGTAGAACAAATTTGTCTAGGTGTTTTGATGCATGATTTCATGAAGTATCGTCAGCTATGGATAGTATTCGATTACCTGGCAACAACGACGATTTGAGCATGAACAACTAAATTTTCAATTGATGATAAGAATAAGACGAGTAGCACCAGAAACACACAGTATCATATCTTACCATTCCCAATACTAATTATATCTGGATTCTCATCAGTAGTCTGACGCATCAGTTATTCTTGCGAAATCTTGCTCTCACATTGATGTTTTTTAAGAATTTGGCTTCGTAAAGATATGGAGCACTTGTCTGTAACTCAAGACCTTTTATATATCTCTTTTGGGGCCAAGGAATGGAAGTTTCCAGTAGGTGAGTGGAAGACTTGTTTGTGAGGTTGGGTAATTCACTCTACATAAACATAAACTCCTGCAGTCTCAATACAGCTTTTGAACTATGTAGTCATATCACTCTCAAATATACAAAGTGGTTCACTCTTTTCGCTCAGACTCACTTCTCAGATGTTGAATTGAGTAATATACAGTACTAGGGCACAGCTGTTTGCCGAACACCGAAATCACACCAAAACTCATATAAATTATCTATATATTTTTCAATAATAGTATAGATTTTATTTAATGTATTTTATATAATTCTATTCATTTTCAATTAAAATTTAGAAAAATTAGATGGTTTTTTTTAAAGATTTTTATTTATTATAAAATCTATATAGAAAGTTGGTATAATTTGAAAATATTGAAATTTATTAGTAAAATAAGTGAAAATCAAGAACTTTTCTTTTGATTTAGATTCAATCTTATAAATAATAATATTCCTATATTTTAAAATCAAAAGAATTATAAATTCTGAGTATTTCATTATATAATAAAACTATATTTAAAATTCTAATCAATTTTAATGGTTTTGAATATTTTATTTTTATTTATATAAATAAAGCAAAATGACCATTTTTGATGTGATTTTTGAAACCGATGAATAGCTGTACACGGTTACTGTATAAACGAGTACTGAATCATAATGAAACAGCAATTGCTCGAAGAATATGAGCAATAAAGAGCTTGAAGCCAGTTCCGTGCTTCATTATCTACAGGATGAACCCTATGGCTCGTTTCTAGAGACCTCATCTGGAGTAAATTTCCTCGGGTTTCGAAATGAAATACCGTTGGCATTGCTGCTCATATAAAAATCAGTATTGCAAAATGGTTATTCAACAACAAGTTAACACTGTGAACAACAATCATAAAATAAATGACAAGAAATGGTACCTCCTTGTCGTTTCTTGTGATTATCCTAAACTCCCGAGTTCAACCTATGGCTAAGTAAAGCTCGTGGAAAGCCACTCATACACCGGTCATTTGTTAGATTCATTCTCACGAATCGACATGAAAACGCAATTTGGTCGAATGTGCAGAGCGTACAGAAGGCGATATGGAAGGTGATATGAAAGCTTTATATACCATTCTTGTATGTAAAATAATGAGGAAGCGGGTAATTTGTAAAAGGAGAGTGGTGGATGGATCGATGCGGGATTTCTAAGTAGGCAACTGAATGGAAAGTGAATGGAACAGTGAAAGATGTGGATAGTACGAGGATGCTCTGCATTGCTCAAACTGGAAACTCAGAGTGTTTAACTGCTTAATTCACCATCTAGCCTCTCTTACCACGCCACCTCCATCTCTCCAGCTAGCCTGCCCCAACATCTCTCTTCGACACATCAATCATTATATAAACCTTTACTATCCTAGGTAGCATCAACTCATACACATGCTCAGAAGATTAGGGAGTCTCTGGATGTGGAAGCCGTGTCCCATTCACCTGGCTCACTAAACCTAAACTCTTCGTTCCCATTAACCTATACTCGAGTTTATTTTGCGATGTGGTAAACTGCCAGTGTTTTCTTAGAGTCCAAAAGATGCTGTTAGTTGTCGCTGGTGCCATTTTTGTTATTTTCGACACATTTTCATCGCCAATACTATATTCACGTCATCAAATTTCGACAGTGCAGATTTTCAGCTTGGAATGACCAGGTATCCTAAACTCTCAGTATACTGTGAAATGGCTTTGAAATCATCTGGAGGCTCTCACTGTTTGTATGCAAGTTTTGTAGAACGCAAAGCTTGCTGTCCATCAAAGCAACATTGTCCTTTTTCAATATTATTTAATGTGTTTACTGATAATAGAAAAGCAAGGTTCACGAATGGCTTAAATAAGAAAGTAGGATCCGGATGCAGAAAGAAGAGAGATTAGTGAACTGTTTAGTGGGCAACATGCTCTGAGCATTGAACGATTGGTCAGATATGCTGGGAGGTATAATTATTGGGTTTAAGCTGTGGAAAATGTGCGTGCGGAGAAATGAAGAAGTTGCATTCACTGTCCGCTTTTACGGAGCTCGAATGCACTGGGATTCCTCTGTATAAGAGCTCTGCTACATACGATTTATGTGACCAGCCATGAATCAGCGAAGAAAAATCACCATGCAGAGGGCCTGGAGAGTCAACCAAGGTTATATTGTGTTATCATGCGATAGAATTAGATGCATATTCTGCTATAATCATCGACTGGTTATTTAGAATTGGTAAAAATTTCATTAAATCCATTCAACAATAACAGCGAATGCACGACGTTGACAGTGATATACACTCTTCTTCACTGATTTTTAATCAAAACACACTGTCAAGGTTCCAGAAAATTATACCCAGAGTTCATACACACAAGACTGACGTGTTGAATACAGAATTTCATATAGATGGCCAAATTGTGGATGTGGCAACCACTGCAACTGATCCTTCCTCGACGTAGCTCTAAGTCTATGAGAAGTTTTATAGAAGGTGAAATTGATGTGTCAATAAAAGTTTATAACAATAAATAAGTTTCAAAAACAATAAGAACCGCATGGCCTCGACGAGGATTAAGAACTCTTTCCCATACATACTGAAAATAAGCTGTATCTATCTAATACAGAATCATGGTCGTATCAGATGGTAGAAGCCAGCAGTTATCTCCTTGGGACAATTTTCGAATTTTTGTAGGGGTGTATATTAGAGCAAGTTCCCAGTGATAGGATATATATATGAATTATTTCAAGGAAAATCGATAGAAGAATTATAAAGCGACACTAAGGGCTAGATTAGGAATGAGAATTAGGGAATTCTCCAGCAATCGTATAAGTAGTTTTCGACTCTCCATCTCACAAAGATCAAAAGTGTCATCGCGTAGAAACATACGACGCGCATGCTCAGACTTCGGTCAGGAGTGGTAAAGAAACTACTGTCCTGAGAGGAATCTGCGTGAGCATACTTCCAAGCGAATTCGAACCTGAGATTTGTTTGTCTTTTGCAAGAAAAAAAAAAGCCTGAATCTGTTTTGATCCTCATCATCGATATTTCGACAAAAGTAGCAAATATGAATTCTCCGGATGGCATTAAATTGAATTACGTAGTTATTTAGCGACAATAATTGCAAGCGCCGGCAAAAATGACTGTGTGTAGCGATAGAACCAAAATTACACTGCCCACTCGAACTCGAACTGGCACTTTTAGTACCGCGATTTGGAAACTTGTAAGATTCCAAACCCCGCTTCACTATCCTCCTTGTTGACACGGTGTTGTTTAGCGATCAGGATGATATAAAGAAGTATCCCAAGATGATAAACGTGAGCTTTATATATTCAGGATGGCACTTCACGAATATCAGAGAAGTGAGAGTGAAGCTGAAGAGTCCTGAGAATGGAGAAGGAGAATCCCTATAGTGAATCTCAGATAGAGATTCCTTGTTTGAGACTATACGAGGGTATATAAGAGATGAGCATGGAGACGTAATTCATTCATCACTTCAATTATACAACAGGTGAAATAAACACTGCAAGGGGAATCAATCTTCCTGTGGAAGTACAGAGA